ATTCTTTTTAGATTGAGATATGGATTTATTGGTCTTTTTATCTGTTTTTTTAGGTTTGACCTGCGCTACTTTAGATTTTGTTTCACCAGTTTCTTGCGGGCATTGACACTTTACAAACGATTTTATGGGAGGTTGCGATCTTTGGAAATACGAGCTCCTTGAAGATACATTACTAACAGGTATTGATGGTCTGGTCTTAAGTCTGCTGATAACGGTTTCTTCCGGACATTTACAGTTTACTATCGGCTTTTTGGAAGTTGGAAATCTCTTGAGATATGATCTCCTTGATGATACCTCGCTTACAGGTATTGATGGTCTTCCAGCAAAGAATTTGCGCAGTTTTGGTGGAAGACGTTCATCTTTATGCTCTACTTTGTCTTTGAAAAATTCAATATTAAATTTGAAATTTGATCCTAAACGAACAACTTGACGCGTTTTTTTCAATAAAGGTCGGTATCTAGGTTCCTCTATTATAGTAGTTATCGATTGGGCCACATCGTAATAATCTGGTCCAAATCTTTGGCCACGTGATAAATGTGGCCGTTTCTGTCGTTTGGTCCCCAATTTTGCATGCTTGTAGACCGTCGCAGTGGACTGACTTCTTGGAATTCTCCCAGGTTTTATGGTATTACTAGATCTATCTTTGAAATATCTTGCTTCAATACGTTTATAACATTTGTAAGTATTACATTGGCCAGGAACACAAACTCCTGGCTCACATTCATATGGCAAAAGTTTTCCAGTATATGCTCCTTTCGAGTGGAAATCTGGTTCTTTCTTATATTTCTTGGGTGTCGTCCCACTATGTTTCACAAGTTTCACTTGACCTGCTGGTTCGAGGCCTTCTTTGTGTAATTTAAGACTACAAAAACAACGCCGTAACGTTGCAGTACCACGGCTTTTTCCTTTTGGTTCCATGTGGCTTTCAACTGCTCGGTCTTTTAAGCCATATACTTCCGTATTGGTTTTCATCTGTTTTGGACGCCGTGGGTTTACACCACGGTCAACACCGAAATCTGATATTATTGATGCTGCAGGTGACTTACGGCCGACTTTTCTAACTTTTGTTTTCTTGGATGGTAGAGGAGCACGATCTGAGGGACGTAATTTCCTTCCAGGCGTGATTTTTTGTTGTCGTGGTCGGTTCGGGTCGGGTACTACTTCTATAACTGGAGGTGCGACGTCTTTGTAAAATTCAAGACTGAAACTGAAAGTTGAACCAATTTTTACAGCTTGCTTGTTTGGAGCTATATTAGAACTGAGCTGTCCGTGGACTTGTTCTTTTTTCTGATCTGATTTTATTCCTGATTTTTTAGGTTTTTTGAAACACTCACACTCTATTGAGTTCTTGAGTGTAGGTTTTCTGGCACTGGATTTTTTGTGACTAGTTTCACTAGTAGATTGACTGAAAGAAACTGGTTCCGCGCTAAATCCACTGTCACGATACTTTATGCGTTTTAGACACTCTTTAGGATCACATCGTCCAGGTATGCACACATTTGGTTCACATTCGTGAGGATCTAAATTGCGCCGCGTTGATTTACTTTTCTTTTGCAATTTTAATGTACAAAAACATCTTTTTAACTGTCCATGCTTATTTTGCTCTGATGTCGATGTGCTTGAATCCTTATGTATGTATTTTGTCTGTCCTGCCTTATGGGTTTTCACAGGTTTTTCTGGGGTCTGCTTGGTTTTTAAAATGTATTCTTCATCCATTATTTTTGATTTCATCTGAGTTCTGTGCCGATGTTCTTCCTGAATGTTTGGCTTTGTAGCTCCATTTGATTTTTTCTTTTTTTTCATCTCAAGTGTGTGTTCTTCCTGAATTTTCGGCTTTGCGGCACCATTTGATTTTCCCTTTTGCTTCATCTGACTTCTGTGTCGATATTCTTCCTGAATTTTTGGCGTCGCAGTTCCTCCTGATTTTCCCTTGGAAAACTCAACATTGAGACTAAAAGACGATCCGACCCTTACCGTATGCTTTTTTTTGGATCGTTTTTTTGCAAGTTTAGTATATTTGACGCCTTCTCCCCCAACTGATACACTATGTTTTTTTGGATTGTAAGTTGCAACTGACTCTTCACGAGGAGGACGAGGGCTATATCCTTGTTTACGGTGATGTATGGGTCTTTTATCAAATCGCGAAATTGTGCCTGATTTCCTTCTTTTATTTATTAACTTTATACATTCGTAGGGATCACATCTACCAATATCCGGAACACAAACGCCAGGTTCACACTCATAAGGTTTCAAATGTTGCACATTCATTGCGTAAAATCTTTGTGCAAACGAATTGCTACTGTAGCATTGACGGCCACTCTTATTTAAATATTTTTTCTTACCCCTTGCATTAAGTAGTCTAGAGGAAGAGGTTTTCAATATTTGATGTTGAATAGCAGTTCTGATAGCTTTACTTATTAGCTCATTTTCAGAAAAGTTATATTTGTTAAAACAATAGCTTGGCACATCTGACGAAGGCAGTTTTTCAAATTCATACCTATTATTTTGCCGACAATAGTGGTCTTTTCTTTGTTTTATATTGTTTGTAATATGTTTTGATGTTGGCGGCTTATAATATAAATCGTTATATAATACGGGCATTTGTTTATTTTTGTGTGTTTCTTGACATGGATAATCAAATTCATCTGATTTATCTAAATCATGTTTCTTTGATAAATAGCAAGCATATGGAGTCTTGGTTGAATTGTTAGTTGCCCTTGAACATTTAGCTTCAGAATATATGCTAGTTGTGTTTACCGGTTGAGAGTATTTTACATGTTTGTCTGAATATTTATTACGAATTTGTGATAAAAAATATTTTAGCTTATGTATAACACCATTTTGTTTATGGCAGCAATTTTCATGATTCGTAAAGGTATATTTTGCAATTAGTTCACTTCCAGTCCTTGTAGCAATATTCTGAGTATTTGTACAGTTTTCGTTTGATTTGTTTTTATGTAGTGAATATATACTTTGTATTTTATTAATATGAGATTTTTCATTGATATACTTCATACTACTGATCAACTTAAGATTTTTAGGATCATAAATGCCTGTCTCTAAAGCATTATTATACAATGAAGGTACATCTGTGCACGTGTTTACTTTTTCTTTTGAACAGACTAACTGTTCCCGCTTTTTAGAAAACAATGTAAAATATTTTGCTATACGATTAAGAAAAATTAATGGCCTTTTTTCTCTACTAGCCATCGTCGATGTTGTTTCAATTTTGAGACCATTCAAACCACTATTTATTATTTCTTTTGTTATCTGCTGAGGAGTATCGTTGTTTGCTGTTACAAAAAAGTTTTGTACAATGATTTCTTTACAATTCGTTGTAGTTTTAGCCTCATCCGCAACGTTTTGTTTTTTATTGGTCTGAGAACGTATATCTTCTTCTTTACATCTTATTCTTCGACCTTTTGGGCAAATAACTTTCACTTGATCGTTTTTAAGTAATCGTTGAATTTTAGACATTGGTACTACTATCAAAGAATTACTTTCTGAGGATTCATTAGGGTTGTACTTTACAAATGCTCTTTTGTTAGCATTTGTTGTTTTGAATTTAGAGTGTATTTTTAAATTTTTGTTCTTGATGTTCGTTGAAATATGTCTTAATAAATATTTTTTTGATATTTTGCATCGCTGCATTTGATACTTAGTATTGGTTATATTTGGTAGATATGTTTCATTCGAAGTCCAAGTAGAAATTGATAAATCTGTATCTAAGAGACTTGTATTATGTTTACTCATTAATGAGAAGTCCCATTTTATTTCACAAGAATTGATTTGATCTTTCATTTTATAACGAGATGGGAGCTGGTCTGCTAAACGAGGGTTCACAAGTCTTTCTTTTTCTGAAAATGATGATGTTGATTCCATAAATAAATTATTTTTGGGATTTACGTACGTTTTATACTGATTATAGCTTTTTTGGTACATGTTATGATTCAATTTTGTAGAAAGAATCTTATCATCACCATCAGTAAAGAAAAGATTACTTAACAGATCAGATGATATCACATTCACATCTGTATTAGATTCTTTAGATTTGCTGCCTAGCCGCGAGAAATCAAATATATTCCTCTCTTCTATTCTACGATTTTCTTGGGGCGGTTTCATGCTTGTGTTTCGTTTTTTTAGACTATTCTCAATTCTTGGATTCTCCCATTTTGGCACAATACCAAACTGTCGTTGCACGTCTTCTGCGAATGCATCTTTAGGTTTTAGGCAATAATTGGTTTGTTGTTGTTTGCTCTCTATTAAAATATGTATTTTTTTGCGTGGCCGATTTGGTACGCTATTTTTAAAATTATATGTTTTTTGACTGGATGTAGACTGAGTTCCGGTATTTAGAATTGTTTTTAAAAGGCTAGAACGCCTTTTAGATACAGTGTTATTGCTTCCGAAGCGCTGCTTAACAAAGGCATTGTCTTTAGAACGAATCTTGTGCGTCTTAGTTTTAGGCTCATGATGCCTAAATGCAGACCTAGCGGTGCAGCTGTAGCTTTCGCCAAGTTTTCTTGGGCTTAATACGTTTCCTTTATCAATGAAATTGACAAGATCTAGGACTGCGTTTCTTCCTTCTAGAGTGTCATATTGCCTGAAATCTACGTAATATTCCGTATCTTCAGATGTACTCAACACATTAGATAACTTGCATTTTTCAATCAACTTGTCCTTACTTATGATTGTGTTTGGTTTTGTGTTTATCGAATTGTATTTCCATACATTTATTATTCCGTTATCAGAACTTCCGACTTGTAGCGTTTCACTTGAGTCGTCAAAACACTGCATCGTGCCTCGCAGTATGCAGCCGTTTGAGGAGACAATTCAAAGGCCAAACATAAATAAACATTTATACAAACATGATTTCAACAAAACTTCATTCATAGGACGATCACCTGGAAGAGATAACACCAGTTAGTATCACACTTTTAACATAGTACCAAATAGTACTAACTGTCTACTATGTTTTCGAAAAACTTGTTTTTTTTTTTCACCGCAGGAAGGATTAGAACCTGTGACTTTCAGCATTTGTACTGCCGACGCCCCTACCAACTGGGCTACCGCGGTTCAATCGTAGATTGCGAATTAAATTAACCAGTCATTTGGCCGCTGATGCATGGCGCGTGGTTGTCTACTAAATAGTATTTTCATTATTATTGCTACCAAGTTAAGAAAACCTCCTATTCCGATGAATATAATTGTGCAGCGACTGAAACAGCCGACGAAAAAGTAAATAAGTAAAATAAAACTTACAAAACAATAACAAAACATCACTACTGTGACCGAAACTTAGCAAAGCTAAGATATCATGCTAGTCACAGCGCATATACAAACATTTACAGAAAAATTGTACATTTTACAAATTTGCCTGTAAAGGCAAAACACAATAATTTACTACAGTAACATGATTTAGGACGATTTATAGAAAATACTTATCTAGAAATGTGATCAAAATCTGATATCATAACATCTCTGAAAATTTCATCTAAATGAATGACGTTGTCAAAAATAGACAGAACATTTAGAAAGATGGACAGGTGTAAGAAAGTATTGGTCAAGAAGGTTTTGGCAGTTTTGGTCTCTTGTAAGTACTTACCTACGTTTTTCGTTTTTGTCTTTTGTTTGAGGAGCTCTGTGTGTGCGTAATTCCTTAGATAACCCTAAGTTTCCTCATCCCCCTTATGACCCTTTGTTCCTCCTAGCCTCATCCCATAGATAGAGCAGATTTTCCGTCCCGTTCGTGGTAGCCGTGTTGCTCGAAGACTAATCCATTTTAGGATGCAAGTTCGTGCATCGCGGCCGAAATCCGGCCGATCGCAGCCGGCACTTGCACCTTTCATCATCATCATCATCATCCGCCCACATCGACCCACTGCAGGGTATAGGCCTCTTCTCTATTGCGCCACTCCTCACGGTCCTGTGCTAATCTCATCCGTTTAGACCCATTTGCACTTTTAGGAACCCTTATCAGTGATAAGATAATACCACCTGATGATGGATGAGGTAGTTATAAGATCAACGTAAATGTACCTACTAGGTACAATGTGGTAGGTCCATCATGCCATGCCCAACAGTGGTAGGCAGTCTGTCAGTGGTGGCTAATGCAACTTAATCTCCTAACGATATGTTTCATGATTTTTGGCTTTTTTAATTTTTATTTCGCATCAAGCAATGAACGGCCAGATTAAGTCTGGTGTCAGTTTTATAATCGCCTTCATTTTATTAGACTGGTCAATGAATGATTCTAGTTGGAAAATCCTGGACCATCAAGTTTACGACATAACTTTTTTTTTGTAGAGTAGTATGTTTGTAACATACTAAAATAACTCACCTCTCCGAGGCTGGGCGCCCTGGGGGAAGCATAAAGAATTGGTTATCCAGGATAATGTGGATTATATTGTACCTAGGTATACCAGGATATTCCAACTAGAAGCCCTAATAACCACTCATTGACCACGAGTACCTATATTATCTAGGAGCCTCTGACATGGTTGTGTAACGGCCGTCTAGGTATCTAACAAAGTAGCTGATCAATCATAGACAGCAACCGGGACGGCTTAACGTGTCTCCGAAGTAAGGTACCTACAATCTTTCTTTTCGGGCTGTTTCGGGCAATCTGGAGGTTCCTCCTGCAACATCCTAACCAAACTGGTAACGAATCATGGGACCTCAGTAGGTATTTGAGACCAACGGCGTGACCACCAGATCATGGAGACTTAGAAAATTTTCCATGAAAAATAATATTTCTAAAACGTAGAACAAGTGGGACTTAAAATGTGCTCACTTGTTCCACCGTAGAACTAGACTAGTAGGAAAAAAAGTTCCTACCTGTTCTACCGTAGAACTACTCAGTAGGATAGGTGGGAACAAAGGGAATTAGAGACAGTCCTGTACCTAATCATCTTCTGCCTAATGTCACTAGTGTGAACGTGCGCCGGCCAGTCATTAGAAGCACAGCTTCGTGCTAGGGTGAAACCTTGCTGAAACTTCATGAAAGAGATCATGACAGCCGATGTGGCGCAGTTGTAGTACAACTTTCTGCCACGCAAAAGATCCCGGGTTCGTTTCCTAAATCCCAGTGGGCCACTCACAAAGTTGATATTTATCTATCACTAGTGGTTTATTTCCCAGCCTGGTTAGGGCATTGCAGGCTGAACCATCTGATTGTCCGAAAAGCAAGATGGTTCCGTGCTTCAGAGGGAACGTTAAGCCGTCGTTTCCGGCTGCTATCTATGATTACCTATTGATTACTTAGTTAGTACTTAGACAGTTTTTAGTAGGCGGTTGAATAACTCTAACACCAGGGATCATCGGGTCGTTGGACGACTCTGTGGCCCCTTAACTAGGGGTCAAGTATTAAAGTAGGTAGGTCATGAGGTAGGTATGTGAGATCGACCTTCTTACGTTCCATCCCCCACTAGTTGGTAAACTACCTATCTAACTTACTTACCTCGATTTAACTTTGTTACGGTATTCTAAATTCTAAAGTAAAACCCGTAAAACCAACATCTTATCCTATCGAAAGAATAGAGCCTTATTCATCATCAAAGGTGACTGACTCGCGGCTACGGGACACCTGCGTGACAGGTTGCACCGACAAACCGACAAACTTACCTCAAACTCCTTGCCACGGCGATAAAATACAGGACCAAAAGCCAAAATCCAACACAAACAACACTGCACTCAATTATCACCACTTTTCACACACAAAGTTCAATTCAAATAAGTTTCCACGCGAATTTACGAACGGCCGCTTCGAGCGACACAGACACACCGCACGATCCGATCGCTAAAAGCAAACTGAAAACCGGTTGCCGGCCGGTCGGCTCCTTCTATTCCTTGCGTTGCGTGTTCGACTTGATCGCAACTTTCCAAGCTCGAGCCGACCGAAGCCCAAACAAAAGTTTGCGCGTGTCGTATAGCAGCGCCATCTATCTTCAACACAGTGTATCAACATGTAAGGAGGCGAGAACCCGGCGGCGCGTTGTGTGCAAACGAGTGTGCAAAGTTTTGTGCTTTTGGATGTATGCGCTGGTTTGGTGATTCCATACCGATGACAATAGATGGCGTTACATGTTCTTTGCTTGTAGCTGCATGAATGATTAGAAATCTTATAAAATTATCAAATTCCATGCCTCATATGAATGAATTTGTGAAAACAAATAGATAGTAGACTATAATGTTATTCTTAGGCCCATATTTTAAACTAAGCCTTATAGGGTCCTTGATACCTTGGTCACTCCGGGTTTTATTATTTTTTCTGTCCTGATACTGCTGTGCTTCTTATTCTATACTCTAACTTGGGAAAATGAATTAAACATTACATTCATAGTAAAATAAGATTTATTTGTAATAAACAATAAACATAAATATAAATTATTGTAGATTAAAACTCCAAGATTAAAACATAATTTGTCTATAGCCTAAAACTTAATGCTATGACCCGGGGTCACTTTCGGAGTCTGTTTCAGATTCACTGGGAGGCCACATTGGTCTGTCATCTGTTTCCTTCCCTACATCATCTAAATATTTCTCCTGAGCTTCTAACACACTCTTACTGTCAGTACAAGATGCATAAAGCTCTAGCGCTTCTGAATTCAACTCTAAAAATGAATGACCCCAAGAGAACTTTGATAAATAGAACTGCGCTTCCTTCTTGTGTCCAGTTATCACCATCGCTGCTGCCAAAGCTTCCACACAACTCAACTGATAAGGTTTTCCATAGTTTATTGGGTTCGCCGCAACCAGAAATGGTAAAAGTCTTGGGTGCGGTGATTTCATTTTGCTGAATGGAGTGTCGTCAATCTTGGCCCAAGAGCAGTCTATCACGGCCAGTCCGAACTTCTCGATGATGTCCTTGTCGTTAGGGCTTACACACTGAGTACCAACTGGCGACAGAACTAGGCCAGGGAATCTTTGACCGAGTTTCAAATTCTTGATGAGGTTATGTCGAAGAAGCTTGCGACCGGAGCATTTTTTCGGGTCGCAGTGATTGAGGTCCCACATGCTGACGGTGAACGAGGCTTCGGTGCCTTCGTCATTGGAGCTGCTTTCATCACTATCCTCGGAAGACTGAATGCTCAAATCGTTGAGTTTCTCTGCGTAGTTCCTTTGAACATGGTGGCCTGAACGTTTTCCTCGAGTCGCACCTTTCTTGTTCGGTGCCATAATTATGTTTATATATCGACAGTATTTACAAAAATCGTAAAATAGAGGATAACTTCCACTTTTGCGTTGTAAACATAACCTCAAACAAAACAGGAGAGGAGGGATCTGTCACTGTCAGTCAGTTACTTTTTTTTATTGCTTTTACTTCGTGGAAAGGCTTATGGATGCAAAGCTATATACATCTTATTCAAGCGCCAAAACTGACCAAAACTTCTTTGTGTTTTCCTCATCTTTAGAAACTTGAACACCAATCAAATCTCTTTTTCACCAAACAACTCGACAAATAAAAATAAAATATCCGGTCAATTTTGACGTGATTTTGACAGTAGTAGAAGACAATTTAAAATATTTGTTAATTTTTTCATTAATAGTTTGAAAATAACAATACTGTTTGAATTTTACGATAGAAGTGCTTAGAAAACATTCAAAATTGATTTCACACGTGGAAGAATGAGCAGCGCCTCTATGGCGGGTAAGTTAATAAGTTGGTAGAGTTAGTTTGCTTTCCTGTCCCGTTTCGCTCGACTGGTGATCGAAAGCGTCGGGCCTATGGTCGGACGACTCAAGGACGACTCCACTAAAATAACCCTTGCAAGTATTAAAATACTAGATCATAGGATTTACTTTATGCAAGCATAAAGTAAATCAATAAGCGTATTGCTGAGCTCGTAGCATGAATCAAGAGCGAAGAACTTTTTTTATGGAACTCTACAAACAACTAGAGTGAAGTTATGAAAAACTCATCTCACACAGATTTGACGACCGCTTTACCACTAGATTGGGGCATACACTACGAACTTATACTAGGTACCCACTTAAAGAAATGATTTCGATCCCCGGTCGATGCATGTCATTTTATCTATTTCTTATTTTCACTTTAAAGAAATGATGATGATGAA